AAGCACTGAGAAAGCCCTATTATTTCTATGTTGATAGGTTTGTTATGAAATAACAGATTAAAGAAAATATTTGACATTTACTTCTTTTGTTTATTTTAAAAGAAGTATTACAATTAAATTTACTGTTTTTGTTCACTGAATTTTTTTAAAAAATTATATTTTCATTCCATAAATGTCATTTAAGACTTCATTAATTTTTAAAATTAAAAACAGATTAGTATATCTGATCACTTACCATTTTTACTTATCGAGTTGATCGTTGTGGTATGTTGTTAGTATAGATTTATAAAGGATTTATGAGTACTGGGATATATGGAAATATGACAAATGGCCACGTTACGTTTAGAGTTGTCAAATGTCATGAAAATACACTACATTCTCTTCACGCATGTGATTGGTGGTCATCGTCATAGCTATGAGTTATGATGTGTTAACTTGTTTGTGAAATTGTTATTCAAATAATTAAAAATTACTGCAGTGTTCGATGTGGCTGAGAATCATAAAAATAAGCAAACTAATTTTGATGTAAATTAAAGAAAGAAATGTCTTTAAAGACCGCTCATGAACTATTACTTGTAATAGTAGTGTGTTTATTTAATTTCTCAAAAAGTACCGAACTAACCTTTGAGTTGCCCGATAGTGCTAAAGAATGCTTTCATCAAGAAGTACAAAAAAATACATCTGTTACTTTAGAATATCAGGTGCGTTAAAATAGAAGAAATAACTCCTACAAGAATGTTTTGCTTGACTTGTATGTTTTAGGTGATAACTGGTGGCCAGTATGACGTAGACGTTTCTTTAAAAGATCCTAAAAATAATATTATATATAATGTAGTTAAAATGCAGTTTGATTCTAATACTTTTACTGCAGAACACACTGGAGTGTATGTAGTGTGCTTTAGTAATGAATTTTCTACATTTTCGCACAAGTTAATTTATTTTGACTTTCAAGTGGGAGATGAGCAGCCTTTACCTGGTATTGGTGAACATGTCACTGTTATGACACAGGTATTACTTTAAAACAATATATTATATTAAAAAAAATTGTTTAATTTTATTTGTAGTTGGAAACATCTGCTCAAGAAATCCACAAATCACTTAATACAATAATTGATTTTCAAACACATCATCGTTTGAGAGAAGCACAAGGGAGGAAGAGAGCAGAAGATCTTAACGAACGAGTTTTATGGTGGTCAGTTATGGAGACTATTGCAATTGTAGTCATTGGAATTGGGCAGGTCTTAGTTTTGAAAAACTTTTTTACTGATAAAAAGCCATACACTTCACTGACCAACTACAAATCGTAAAGACAAGATGTTAGTGTTTTGTTTGACTCACAGTGCAAATGATTTAGTGATTTATAATTAAATAAGACTTTCAAAAATGTTAAGATGATCCCATTTGCGTACTCAGAAACTGTAGCTATTAAATATGTTCAAGTGTATAATTAAATTGATTTAAATAAAAAAACTGCTCATAAGTAGTGAAAATTCCTTAGTATAATAATAGTAATAATTTCTTTTCATGCTACAAAGGTTCTTGCACATTACTCTTTTTACATTAAATTAATGTACATATAATTTTTTAACAGTTTTTTAATGAAAACCCTTACATAAAACATACAGTTAATTCAAAATTATAAATCCATTTATTAAATATAAAATGATGTATTACATTGATATAAATCAAAATACAACCAAAAGAGCAAATACCCCACTCACTAAAGCACAGGGATAGGCAATTAAGGGTCTCTGTTGTGTATCTCCTGACATTGCAACAAATAATCTTGATGCTGACAAACTGGACCAAACAACTGCAAGCACAGCTAGCCCTATACCAATTGGTCCACTTAAATTTGTGAAGACACCAATAACAGCCAAAGCAACGATGGGTAGCAGGCAGTACCCCAAAATACTTGCCACACTTGTTAATGTGAATATGTTGTTTGTTGTAGTCATTAAAGACAACAGACAATACATCATTAAGCAGGACATCACTGACAATCCATATATGTAACCAAAATGTGCCTTATTTCCTGATATAAACAAGCACATAGCTAAAGTGAGACAGTAAGCCACAGGCCCAGCTAGGTCTGTATCTTTTGCTAGGAAGTCTGAATCATCTGCTAAACTATGACCTCTAAATGGGTTTAAAACTGCTAAGGTTTTTTCTAAGATACGATCTGGATATATTTCCAATTCTTCCAACAATGGAGGTTCATCCCATTCTTCATTACTCCCATATACCTTCTCAGCAGAATAACCAGGGGGATCTTGTGGTTGTAAAAAGCTCATAGAGGATGAACTTTTGCCCACCAAATTGGGATTATAATAGGATTGTGATTCCTGAGAGACTTCCCCAAATGACTGAAACTCTGGAATTAGTGATAACTGGTACAAATTCTTTTAAAATGTATTAATGGTTAAAATAGAAAAGGAGACTAGTGATGGAAGCAAGCAAAAACTTACCCCAAATTCAACCACAATTTTATAAAACGCAGGCACGTGTTTCAATCACTTTTGTGAGCATTCTCATCCCAAGACTGTCTTGGACCAAGAATGCTCACAATTCTTGTATTGATATTTTATTATACATGTATACTATTTAGATAACAATATGTTAAATAAAGTTTTCATTATTATTATTAAAAGTAAGGAAGCGAAACACATGTCCGCGTTTTACAAAATTGTTGTGGTTAAATTTGGGATATTTTCTTGTTCCTGATTATTAATTTACCAAACTGCTGAGTCTGCATTGTGTGATATTCATTGTCTCCAAAGGAGTTGAATTCTTGGTTCGGCACGTTCCAATAATATTCTTTTTCACTCATTGTATTCCTAAAAGTATACGAAATATTAATAACTAAAGAAATTAAAGCTTTTCTTGAATTGTTTACTTGTTATATTTACAATGCGACACGTCGAATTTGTCAAATCAGTTATTCTAACCTAAAAGAAATCACAAATAAAAATATAACCTTAAATGCTCGTTGTTGCGTTTTTTAGTTTTCCTTATATTTTAATTACCATTCTTTAAACATGGTAAGATTTATTAAAAATACTCGGTGAATTCGGTTTTAACAATTTTGTCGTATTTTAGTATACTTTATTGCTTAAAAAGGAAAATGCCCATGACGATGCTATATGGAGTTGTGCTTGGGGAAAATTAAGTAAAAAAAAGTGCACAGAAGGTGATGAGCAAGGTGACCGATCTAGGTAACACTTATTCTTATTAAATTTAAACCTTCTTTAATGCTAACATCTGAAAATTTTAGAGATTCAATTACATCAGATGATGGTAGTGTTGATTATATTATTACAGGAGCAGTAGATGATTTGGTAAAAGTTTGGGAACTGCAAGATGATCAACTTAAATTGAAATATCAACTCGAGGGCCATTCACTAGGTGTAGTTTCTGTTGCAATGAGTAATAAGGGGAATTGTAAGAACATGGTGATTTTAATTATTTCTAAATTAGAAATTAAATTAATGAAATTTAGTTAGCTACAGTTTGTGTGATTCCAGTGTGTGCTTCGAGTTCACTAGACTCAAGTATGAGAATTTGGGACTTAGAAAAAGGTGAAAAGCTTTCTACAATAGATTGTGGCCCTGTCGATTTATGGACAGTTGCTTTTAGTCCAGATGATAAATATGTTATTTCTGGTTCGCATGCTGGAAAAATAACACTATATAATGTTGAAACAGCTAAGTCTGAACAAACATTGGACACAAGAGGAAAATTTACACTGAGCATAGCATATGTATGTTGTATTTACTTTTTAGCATTTTAATTATTTATATTAAATATGCCTTAGAGTCCTGATGGTAAATATATAGCAAGTGGGGCCATTGATGGTATAATAAACATATTTGATGTGCATTCTAACAAGTTATCACACACACTGGAGGGGCATGCAATGCCTATCAGATCTCTATGTTTTTCCCCTGACTCACAGTTTTTATTAACAGCTTCTGATGATGGGCACATGAAATTATATGATGTGTGAGTTTAAAAAAGAAACACTCAATCTAAAATAATAGTTTGTACAATATGTTTTTTAGTAATCATGCAAACGTAGTTGGAACGCTATCTGGTCATGCTTCATGGGTTTTAAGCGTGGCATTTTCTCCAGATGGAGCACACTTTGTTTCTGGCAGTTCAGATAAAACAGTTAAAGTGTGGGAAGTCGCGGCCAAACAGTGTATTCATACTTTCTTAGAACATAACGACCAGGTAATTAATATGATATTTAATATTTATTTCTGCCATCCATACATGAATTATAGTACATATAAATGATATTGCAATATGGGTGGTGAGTTCCAGTAGGTATAGTACTACCTGTACAGGGCTGACATTGGTGATTTATTCCATACATGATAATCATAATATATATATAAATTTAATTTT